TGTGAATTGTGTAAGACTGATGAATCACAGACCTGTACCTCTGAAACAAATAATACATTATATGTTAATTAAAAAAAAAAAGATAGTAGAAAGGGAAAAATGAAGGAGGGGAAATTGGAGGGGGAGATGAACCATGAGAGTCTATGGACTCTGAGAAACAAATTGAGGGTTCTAGAGGGGAGGGGGTGGGGGGACGTGTTAGCCTGGTGATGGGTATTAAAGAGGGCACGTAATGAATGGAGCACTGGGTGTTATACACAAACAATGAATCATGGAACACTACACCAAAAACTAATGATGTAATGTATGATGATTAACATAATAAAATAAAATTTTTTTTAAAAAGTAAAGATTTCTTGTAAGAGGGAATCCTGGAAACAAGCCTCTCCTATTAAATCCCAAGCCAGCAGAATTCTAAAAAGACATAAGAAACAGTTCTCATGCAAAATTTGCTACCAAAGTGAATTTCCAGTGTTGCTATAACAGCGTTTATTCAGTACACTCCAAAAGACTGGTATTATATTTCTCTTTAATGAGATTTGATCTTTCGGTCCTTGGATTTTCTTTTTTTTTTAATTTATTTTTTTTTTAAGATTTTATTTATTTGCGAGAGAGACAATGAGAGACAGAGAACATGAGAGGGAGGAGGGTCAGAGGGAGAAGCAGACTCCCTGCCGAGCAGGGAGCCCGATGCGGGACTCGATCCCGGGACTCCAGGATCATGACCTGAGCCGAAGGCAGTCGCTTAACCAACTGAGCCACCCAGGCGCCCGTCCTTGGATTTTCTTAAGTAACATGTCTACAAGTTGCAGAGTGATCTCTAAGAAAAGCCACTCCGAAGTGATGATCCAAGTGGCCCTGGATGACTCCAACTTAAAGACATCTAAAATGGATCAACCCATTCCAGAATTCAGTGACTCAAAATTTCAATCCATTCCAATTTTGTCAGTCTTTGACTCCAAAGACTAGGGTCATTGTAGGTAGACTCAAAGGTGAAAAACAATTTTTTAGATTACCTCTGAAGTCAACCAAGTATCGTTGGAGTCATAGTGGCTGTGGTATGTGTACTCACCTCCTCACTATTCTTCCTTCCCTCTTCACTTTGCCATGACTCCCCGATCTCACAGACTTTGGGTTTTGACACGTGACTTACTTTGACCAATGGAACGTGAACAGAAGAGTAGAAGTTCTGAACTGAAGCTTTAATAGGTTCTGAGTGTTTCTACTCACCCTCTGATATCTTGCTATCACCCGTGAGAACATACCCCAAGCAGCCATGGCTCCTTCCGTGTAGGTCCCACAGTGAAAGATACATGAAGTGGAGTGAACCAAACCCATAGTCCAGAGTGACTACAGTTAATCTACTGACCCATGAGCAAGAAATAATGATCTGAATGCAAGCAATTGAAATCTTAGTGTAGTTTATTGCTATAGTAAAAGTTAATACCGTGACCAACAATAAAAAGGCTCAGGGTATTATTCTCTGGTACCACTCTATTCCAAATTAAAACTTCCAGGTCCATGTTCCAAAATAGTATGCTAAAGCAAACCGGTTTTCATTTCAGTACCAGGCACTGGCCAAAAATGTCTGACAGCTTGATATCTTCTCATCTGAAAATGTATCCATTATTGAGTTAATAACTTTGAACCTCTTCTACTAAAGTAAAAGTACATTGAAGACAGAATCTGTACCTCATTTGCCATCCCCCTATAGCACCTAAAAGAGTGTTTCACACTTCATAGCCATTTGATAAATGATTCCCTATTCCAACCCAAAGTTACCACTGCTTTTCATTATTGTCCATATCTCAAAATGACCTCCTGAGTCACAAAATGATTCATATATTTGAAATGACAGAAATGACTATATATGATCTTTCCACCTGAATACACAGGAATTCTAAAGCACTACACAATGAATGATTCTCAAGACTGGTAACCTACACCAACATGAATTCCTTCGAAATGGCACAGATTCCTTCAATGAATACTAAGATGTAGAATGACGTATCTCACGGTGCTACACACAAACATGCCACAGAGATGTGTCAGCACTCAAGGGTACAGCTCCAAGGGAGGTCTCACAAAGGGGCCTAGCAACGCCTTCCGGGGAGCACATTTCTGTCTTGAGTCTCTTTCACACTGGTCCTCTGTGCCACTCTGCCTCCTGCTCATTGTACCAGTTGTCTCATTTTCTCCAACATCCTCTACTACCCAACCAATCTAGGTTACTTTCTTTCCTCTTCTTCTCCACACTTCATTTTATTTTTTGCCACTTGCTTTTTCTACCTTTCTCTCATACTTCTAAACCTGGTACAAGAAGGCATCACCACACATCCAGAGAACTCCCTTCCTTCACAACAAATCAACCAGCTGCCAAATACCAGATATAATTCTCAGGCTTCACAGTCAATAAAAGCAGGTGTGTTCCTTGCAAGATGCTCGGGGACTTCCAGAGATGTCCACACACCCTGCAAGCTATTTAGTTCTTGTGTCATTACAGAAAATTGAAGACAAGAATTTTTGTCAAATTTTTGGTCAAAAATTCTGCTGAACCCCATGGTCTAAACATGTCCAGTTCATCAAAGCTGTACAGTAGCAAAGATGTCTTCAAAAATGCTTCATTAATTAATCATTATATCCCATGATTGCAATTTCTGCTCCTAATTAAGTATGTTTTAGTAATATCTCATGAAATTATAAATAAATTCTCTATTATACTTAGGAGTCAAAAAATCCTAAAATACAGACCCAACTGTAATAAACATACATCTCTATTTTTTTCCCAGAATATCCTTTCCTCTTTTATTCTGAAAATACTGTACACTTTCTTTGGGATATGTCACCCCTAACTTACCCTGAAAGCTGAAGGCCTATGGAAATTGATTCAAATATATACCGTCATTTTCTTACTGAGCCTAGCCACAGGCTAGGGGTGTGTACCTGTCTGAAGCTGGGCATGGCACTCTAACCCATTGGTGAAAGTTGATCTATATTTGTATAGATAATGGCATGTGACTGAAACAATAAATCACAGTCTTTTCCCAAGATCTTTCAAAGTGAAATAAAGGCAAGAGGAGAAATCTCTCTCAGTTGGTGATGAAATGAGGCATCTTAAAGCAGCTATGTGCCCTGCATGGGGGAGAAAGCCAGTTTGAGAGAATGAAGCCAAGATGCAGACAGAAACAGACGGCAGAAACACAGAAGACGGAGCACCCTGCAGTATCCAAATCCCCAGACCAGTTGTCCCTGATGATTGTCACACTTCTGCCTTCCTCCTGGGTACATAATAAGTCTTCCAATAAACTCTCCTGTATATCTAACTCAATTCAAGCTGTTTTCCTGTAATCAGTAGCCAAGGAAATTCTACATAACATACCAAACAAACTACAAGGTAACAAATTTGACTTCTTGGGAGTAGGGTCCAGGAACACTGTAAGAAATGTATCTGCAGCAAATGTAGCTGCAGCAAAAAATCTGAGTTAACAGACTGGCATTTAAGAATGACACTATGTAACACTTTCTTCACTGCCTTCTTAACTAGGGATAAGCCTTGTCTTTTCATAAGACAATCAATTTCTTATATTTTTTTAATGAATTCCCTCTTAGCACAAATCATGAACATAGATGTTCAGTGGGTGTATACTGGGCTAAAACATGACGATTAGGATACTATGATTGCCATACGATCCTCTGGAATATCATCAGTTCCAAGGTAAGATGGCTTTGTGTTCTGGAAAAATCTATCTCGGAATAATAATGGTTGTATAGCAAAACAGCACTCACTACCAGAACTCAGGAAGAGATCTGATTTTCAATACAAAAATTACATTTAAAAAAGCAAACTCATTCTAACTCCTCAAAGCTGATACCTATGCCCTTAACTAGTTCTGACTGAAAAAAAGGAAAAACAAAATGGTTATTCTTTATATAACTTTAAGCTCTTACAAGCTTATATGTTCATTTTACTTATTTGTTTTATACAGCTATTTAGCACAATGTGAACTTAATACGTGCTCATAATGAAAGAAAACAAATCATATCACAAAATGCAAACGTCTTAATTATATAAACTTACTCACATGGCTAGGTTCTAGACATCAATTTTAGAACAACAAAGTCTTCTCTAAGTTATTCCAGAAGACTATTTGCATACAAGTTTTGGAAATCTCCACTGCAAAATTCTTCCAATATAAACTGCATTTAATCTTTTCAATTAGCAACATGCTTAGAGAACACACCCAGAATATCTGCGACCAGTGCTCTAGACTTTTCTACCTACTATAAGTGTATATGCTTATACACAAATGCATACATACATATGTACACATACATATATATACATGAATACATATGTGTATTTATGTATATATACACACTTGAGTATGTGTATACATATAGTATGTATATTTTTTATATGTATATACATATTTTGGGTGTGTGTACATATATATACAACTGATATACATATGGACAATGAGATAGATATAGTAACTGTATATGTGTGTATATATATATGTGTATGTATGTGTATATATATATATATATATATGCACACACACAGTAACTGAATTTGACCCAAACCCATCCTGCAACTAATAATTTGGTCTTAAAAGGATATTTAAGTGTGGATTCAAATATAGATAATTAAAATATCTTGAAATCCCAGGCCATATCCACAGAAAATGGTGTCATTTAGGAAAATTTCCTTAGACTCTCTACTTACAATCCTAAAATAAATAAAATAAAATAAAAACTTAAAAAAACCTATAGATATAGAGAACTATTTGATAATTACGTTTATTCACCTCTACCCTGTTTATAATATGACCACATTAAAAGACCTTTTAAAAAAATTTAGTAAAGTTAAATTTCAGGTCAAGGCCTTTTTTAAAACTTTTCTGGTCCCATCATAGAAATAATATACAGAAATCCCACTGCTAGTACATGAGAAACCATGAAGCATGTGCTATAAAGAACGAAGCCACATTCGTTTTTACCTGCATTGATGCTCCCTCCACTCTTGCCACACAGGCCACCCGGTCCAGGAAAGTCACGGCCACGGGCACCGCCACAAAAAAGCCCTTAAAGAAGGCCTTGGCATACCTCCTCACCCAGCCTTGTGACTGTGCCATACCTGAAAACAAGTACAAAATTAGCCTCAAAAAAGGTAAAAAAGAAAAAACAAAAACAGCACAGGAAAAGTAAGAGTTAAGGGAAAACAACCTCATCTCTTAATAATTTTCACACTCATCCCTATAAGCAGTGGAATAAATCTGACTTAAATCCCAAAGGCAAACACACTAACTCAGGTTAACTCTTTTCAGTAACTGAAGTCCACTTGATAACTGGAAACTTTCTCTTCACAAAGCAGTAAGTTACCATGTAACTAGGTCTGATGAATGGCATATGAGTAAAAATGATAAATTTCCACACTGTGCCCTGAAAAGGAGAATGCCCTCCTCTTCATGTTTCCCTTTTTACAATACCATGATAACAAAGTGGTGGTAGAGACAGGAGTAGCCATCTCAAGTTAAAGATGGCAAAGCAACAAAATAGAAGGGTCCTGGGTCCCCAGCACCATGGAGGCACTGTAATTGTGCTGCACTCACTTACCCTGTAACCACCTAATTTTCAGATTTTTCTAGGGATAGGCAATCTTTTAATTGTCTCATGCAATGAAAAACAAAATAGTGAGAGATAAGATATGCTACACTACCAGACCAAAGAGAGCCGAACACAGTCCAAGAGATTTGAAGAAACTTCATGGTTGGGAAAGATAAATGATCGTTTTGTTCACAGTCTTACTTAGACAAGCTCCATGTGCTACCCAAGATTGAAGGAGGAGGTGAAGGGGATGATGAGGTTAGAGGTCTCTTGACCTCTCCTTCTTTGCAGTGTGCAACTAGATCAGAGCAACTGAAAAGTTCCCTAACACAACCACAAGGCTTGTGTAGCCCTAAACCCACAGGTCAGTTTGCTTCCAAGGGATGACCTAAAATTTCTTGTCCTTTGAGAGCAGGTTCAAAAGGGTCCAGAAATGCAATTCACACCAAGCATATACCAGAAAGGCATATACTGGGACAGTGTTTACACTTTTCATGTTTAAGTTCCCAAAAGTCACACTTCCAATGAGAGCAGTGTTATGATAATATTAATATTATACACATGAAAAGCCAAAAATAGATAAGAATATAAGAAGGAAAAGAAAAAGACTAAAAAATATATTCATGAACAATAGAGGGAGAGGGAGGGAGAAAATGAGTAAATATAAATACAGAAATAATTATTTACTTATTTGCATAAGTGTATATTAAAAAAGCAGAAAAAATACAGTTAAATTCAGTCCAACTACTCATATCTGAAGATTTTACCCAATGACCTATATAACTTAAACTTGAAAGGAGACACAGAGGAACATATAAAGAAAGGGTGGGACCACTTCCAAATAGCTTCATCCAAAAGACTTCACTTCTCATTTTATTTTAAAGGAATTCTTCCTTTAAAGGCACATACAAAAGAGGGTCACATGGTAATGAAGAATAGTCTTCTGATCCTGACAGAGCAAAAGAATTCTCCAGAGTTATCAGTATAGGACAATGGCTTTCAAACTGTTTTGACCATGTCCCACATTAAGAAATACATTCTATAGAGCAACCAAGTACTCAAGTACTAACTCATATACACACACAACTTACATATATACCCTCACAATGCAGCAAATAAGAACTGAAAACAGTTTCACAAAACTACTTATTCTTATTACATAATAGGCTATCATTTTAGTTTGTTCTATTTCACTGGATGGGACAAGATGAACGTGGGGAGACCAAATTATTCTAGTGGTCCTGAGCAAGAGACGATGGTAGGCTGGACCACAGTGGTGGTGACAGAGATGGAATAAAATGAGCAGACATGGGGCATCTGGCTGGCTCAGTCAGTGGAGCAGGCGACTCTTGATCTCGGGGTTGTGAGTTCCAGCCCCACGTTGCATGTAGAGCTTACTTTAAAAAAAAAAAAAATGAGCAGATTATGATATATATTTTGGAGGTTAAAATGACGTGATTGGACATGGATGGGCAATGGCGGGAGAGGGGAGAGGAGCTAAGAGAAGGAGGTGTCAAGAGGCAGTAGTGACCTATGAAAGCACTGTTATTTTGTCATCCCCTTGAATTGCATTCCAAAGTAGTAAAAACATGCTCACAATTCAATTTATCAAACCTTTATTCAGTCCTACTAAGCACAAGGCCATAAGTTAGGCGCTAGGAATTTAGGAGTGGAAAAGCAGATATGGTCCTTGCTCTCAAGGGGTTACACTGTACCAGGAAAGATGCCCCTAAACAAATATTTTAAATGGAAATGAGTATTGAAGAGGGCCAAGCCCTGGACCATGGGAATATGGAGCAAGGAATTCCTTCCATCAGAAAATGATCAGCAAAGGTCTCCCAAGGAAACACCAATCGAGGTGGGACCCGAGCATTTCAGGCACAAGGAGCAGCATGTGTGAAGGCCTAGGAGCAAAGTAAAATGTAGCTACTTAAGAAACTAACAGAAGTTCAATTTGGATAAAGTATATACCCAATTTATTTCCTAATTTTCAATTTTTACTTTAGTAAACATTTAGTTATTGACGCTAAACACCAATGCTAAGGGAAGAGAATATAAAGATGGCTGGGCATACAATATAATATCATTTAAAAACTCTCACAAACAATATTTTATATTTTCTATGTAAATTTGTATAAGCATATAAAAGTATTTAAAATAGAATATTATTGGGGCGCCTGGGTGGCTCAGTTGGTTAAGCGACTGCCTTCGGCTCAGGTCATGATCCTGGAGTCCCGGGATCGCGTCCCATATCGGGCTCCTTGCTCAGCAGGGGGTCTGCTTCTCCCTCTGACCCTCCCCCCTCATGTGCTCTCTCTCTCTCATTCTCTCTCTCAAATAAATAAAATCTTTAAAAAAAAATAAAATAAAATAGAATATTATTTGTATTATTGTGCTCATTGTTTACTAACCACTCATGTCACTTGTATAATTAGTAAAGTTTAGAGAGAGATGGAAAAAGCAGGCTTATCAGAATGCTGAGTGGTTCATCTTAGATGCTAGAAATGTAGATCATGACTATTTTCTTCTTTGAACTTCCATTGATTTCTAACATTTAAAAAAGAAAGATGTGCTATGAAGTCACTTTAGTATATGGATACTACAGGATGATGCCAGTCCTGATCTATCTACTATTATGATAAACTACCCTTTCTTAGTCCAGTCTCTCTGCTGTTCTAAGGAGAACAAAAAAATACCAAGTAAGATTCTTCCCTATTTATGCAGCAATCAACATATCTGACTGCAATTCTTTTATGTAGCCAAAATAGGCCATGTCGGAATATTATATGCTTTGGAAAACTTCTTGAGAGTTTGAAAAGCCTTAAAAAGTCTTACCTTTCTATTCACCCATAGTAGCATTTGGGTTCAAATAGGAAAATCTTGCTGACAATCTATATTACAACCAACTTGACAACTTGACTACTTTCAGTAATTAATAAACTGGCTTAAAACATGTAAACCTATGCTTGCCTAAATATTAAGCAAATATATACTTTATCAGGTCAAACAGGCTTAGACAACCAGAGGATTTAGACTGCAAAAAAAAATGATAGGACAAATGAAAATAGAAAAACATGCTCTTATACAACTGTGGCTCTTAGAATTAAAAAAAGCAAACACATGACAGAATGAGAATATAAGTGTTATCTTTGCCGTTCCTTATTTCCTGCATGCATGGACCTTCACTAAATGACTAGGGATATGTGCAGAATAGAAACTAGGAAGGCTTTCAAATATGATGATGCTGCAGCTATCCTAGTTATAAGGTAACATGCATGCTTACAATGTAAATTAAGGGGAAAAGAGAACATAAGTTGTATTAGAATTGGAGTCCCAGAATTTTGAGCCTCCCCTCCTTTCCCAATATCCACTCTCTCATATACTGCTACTCCATTTGGTCACTGTGGCCCCCAGGAAGGATCATAGTAATGAGAGTCCGGGGGCCCGAGGTGGCCTATAACTTGCTGCATGTCTCACCAACTCACTTTCAGGCCTCAGTTTCTTGTCTGTAAAAAGAAAGAGGTTAGACTCAATTTCTAAGGTCCTTTCTGTGTCCAACATTCTTATTTCCATAAATTTTTCAATTGTTTCTCCAGGACTTCAGCAGATACTAAAGTTTTAAAAAGTCACTCAGATTACCACTAAGAAGAGACAGGAAGTTGCTTTTAGGTTTGAGACTCTAAGTGTTAAAAAGAAAAAAAAGACTTTGCTTTTATCACACAGCTAGTTAAAAAAAGAAAGAAAGAAACAGAAGAAGCTGGAACAAGTGCAAATCATGTCAAAGAACATTTAATTATAGTGAAAGCCACTGCTCTTTCACTTCCTGTCTACACAAGTCCACTGCTGACCATCTCCTGCACAACAAAGTCAAGACAAGTATTTTTCCATTGAGAGACTTTCAAAGAGTACGTGGGAGGAGTGCCAATCTGAAGGTGCACAGATTCTGCCCAAGCCAAGGGAAAAAATAAAGCTACCTTGCAAACAAGTTGTCACTATTTTCAGAGGCTCAAAACAAAAGCCTCAGCATAGTCCTGTCTTAAACGAATTGCAAAGGACACCGATACCACATAAAAGTCAAACATTTTTAAAAGCTTCTAACTATCACTAAAATAAACCATACGTAAATGAAACAAACATTACATTTCCATGTCAAGTCGTACAAATAAATTGTTTAAAGTTGTATGGCATTCACATTCTGTTAAAGTTTATGGTTTTTTTTTTTCTATAGAAATTGCCAAAGAATCATTGGAATGATCTGGTCTTTTGTTCACACCCTCAATGTTTAAAACCTCCATACTAATAAGCACCTGGCATCTGTTTCCTCTGAGAAAATTTCCTTTAAGCAATGACAATATGCTACTAAAACCATCACCAGCAAAAAGGGAAGAATTTTTATCAGTAACCTCATTCTCTAGTAACCATGCAAGTCATTTAGGTTCAAAACATTGTTCCTGAAAAAACTGATGCTTAAGTAGTAGGCACACCTGGTTCATTGCTGGACTGAGAATATTTTTAAATAAACCTTCAGAT